AACTTTTGGGAACAGATCAGACTCATCCTTGCAGAGTGATGTAAGCGGCGCTGAGGCTGCCTGGGAGCAGGGCAGGGAACAGATGACCTCTTAAGGTCACTTCAAGCCCTATTTTCCATGATTCCAGGGATACCTAATACTCAAAATGCTTTGTAATCAAAGTTGCCCTTGAGATGTTTCGGAGTCCCAAAGCAGAGCAGAAGGACCGTTTCAGGAACGCAGCTGTGATCTTCCCAAGGCATTCCCAAATTCCTGAAACACCAACTCCTCCAGTCAGGTCTGCTGCAGAGAAGAGAAGAGCAGAGCTTGCTCGCTAAGCACTGCCTGGATGAAGCAGGGCAGCCCCAGCTCTCCTGTTTAATTTGGAGATTTTAAGATTCCCCTCATACCCTGGAAAAAGCAGATGTGGGCACATGGCCCTTCCCTAGGTCAGCACTCCATCCCTCACCTCTGAGCTTCCCAGATCTGGACCCTGAGGTTCATTTTAAGCATCAATCAGTGGATATCACCCAGACTAAATGAAACTCCAGCAGCGCCCACTAATCTTTGGAAAGAATTTTTAAGTATTATTTGGGGAGCTTGGTTCAAAAGATTGTGAGAAACTTCAGAGTGATGCTGCTGCCCAAACTCCACCACGAGCAGGTGCCCTGAAATAACCATCACTGCGAACCCAGGGTCAACATTTAACGTTGCTGGATATTTATTTCACTCTATTAACTTTATATCCTATAGAGGCACTTAATGAGAGGCAAACAAATAGGTTGCACTTTGGAGAAACAAGATATCCGAGTTGGCTGGGAGCAAAGTACCCAGAATACATATCATAAAGGCATCAGGATAAACGATTCCATTTTATTGATTAGCAACTGTGCTAGGAGTGCAAATTGGTTACTTGTAACTATTACAGTGCATCATTTATTACAGCAGGCACCAGGCTCCTGCACGGGTGAAAAGCTTTTGGAGGTCCCGGCGTGCTCCTGTGCTGCTAGCAAAAGGACTGAGCCACGTGCTGAGTAGTTCCTGGGAAAGTAGTAATTGCTCCCTAATAGCACTGAACTCTTAATCTACACTAATAACGTCCTTCCGAGGCTTTAATGCAATAGAGATGTGACACTTTTTGCCCCAGAGTTGTAGAACTGCCCGAGCTCAGCTCTGCCAGCGCCAGGGTGGGCTGGATGAGGTTCAGCCTGGTGCAGGAACACAGGTAGCTGTTGGAAGCAGCCTCTGCCACTGTCTCCCAGCAGCACTTCTGAGAAAAGTAGAAAAAAAACTCACTTTTTTTCAAAGGAAGTGCCAAGTGGATCACTTTTCTGTGGAGACATGCACCTCCCCACGCTGCCTTGCTGGGACAAGAAGCACCAAGGGCACTGTGCCAGCAGAGCGAAACCCTCTCCCCCACCGAAACCACCGACACTTCAGTTTTGCCCTTCTTACTGCAATTCCATTCAGGGCTGCTCCTTGCTCAGCCCTGTCAACCAGAAATCCTACTTCTTTCCCACACAAATCCCCCACGTAGCTGAGCCAGCACAAAGCTGGGAGGATCCGCACAGGCAGACACATCCCTCCTGCCTCCAGGTATGTGGGGTTGCAGCTCTGCTCAGCTCCACGGAAGAACAAGGAGGCTGGCAGACCTGAGGGGAAGGCTGTAACTTGGATAACCTCCTGCAAAAGTTCAGGGGGAGCTGAGCTGGGGACAGGACCGTGCTCTGCCAGCCAGCACGGTCAGCCCCGGGCGCTGCTCTGCTGGGGGAACGACCAGAGCAAAGCTCAGCTCAGGGGTTAGGCTGGCACAAACCTCATCCTGCTCTGCTCCTTCCCCAGAGCGGAGCTGGGCATGACAGGGATCCTAGAGCAGCAGCTACACACCCTCCAGCAGCCCCTGAGTGGGATTTACATGCCCAAATGTACCTGGTCCAGTTCTCTGAGAGAGAGCCAGGAGGAGCAGAGCAGGTCAGACACCCCAGAGAACATCTCAGCAGGCACAGAGTCACCCCAGAGCCCACGGGGAGCGGATTTACCCCTTGCACGCCGGTGGCACGAGTAACATCTGCAGAACATCTGCTCTCCTGGATCCAACTGTGCGAGGGCAGCGTGAGGCTGTGGCCTTGCTGACCCATGTCCCCAGCAGCTGCAGAGCCACAGGGAAACACTCCATCACTCAGGACAGGGAAAAAACCCAACTGGGTGCTCAGGTCCAGCTGCTCCCCCTCACCCTAGATAGGCAGCTGCTGTGCCACCACCCTCCACCTCCTTATCCAACGCTGCCTCGCTGTTTCCTAATCATTTCCCCTCTGCCACACTCCATCCCAAGTTTTCACCTCTTCAAGTGCACATTTAGGGGGACAGATGCTATTTTCAGTGTTTGGGGTTTGCAGGAGGGCTTGCAAATCACAGCTGGGAGGTCCAGAGTTGAGAGTGACAAAAATAACAACGATGGGAGCTGCTGATTTTAGCAAAGTTGCTCCTCTTGTAAGAAAGAGAAGGGACAGCTTGGATCCCTCTGAGATACTTACACTTAGCAAAAGAAAAGGTGGAAATTAAGGAAGTTTTCACCATGGAAGCAGGTGCCACCTGGAATGAAGGTTTAGACCACTGCCATATGTATTATGCCCACAATCCAGGTCCATTCTTGATTTTGTGATACAGTCGTGTTTAATTGCCATTAATGTAAACATATTTGAAAAGGTTATTTTCCTGCTCTGCAGGTCAATGGATCTAATGAAGCAGCTCTAAGTGGGTTTGAATTGCTTTGATTAGGTGCTTGATTTCCTGTTTACCTCCTGGAAGTGGGTTTGTCCCACACAGCTAATGTATATAAAAGCCCTGAAGGGTCTGTGAAGCACCAGAATGAGCTGAAACCCTCTGGGCAGCTGCAGAGAAGGAGAAAGGTAAGAAGCTCTACATCAGTCTTTTTATTTAATTTATTTTACTCCTTTTTTCCCCCCCCCTAAGAAATATAACAGTGGGAGCAAACAGTGTTTGTGAGTGTCAGGTAGGAGCCAGAGCAGGAACAGCCCAAACCTTTGGCTGGGTTTTTTTTTTTCTAGTGGTACAAAACTGGCTGTTTTTTTGGTAGTTTTAGTAGAAAAGACCTGCAGCACTGTGTGTGCTGGGTTGTTTCACAGGAGGGTTTGGTGTATGGCAAATACCAGCTTGGGTTCTGCACCTACACAGGGAAATGAGGAGAAATTGGTTCTCTGCTGCTTTTTGGGACCTCCCAGCTATGGCTAAAACAAGGAAAATGCTTTTTCTAAAGCTGATAGTGTTGCCCAGGGGACTGGAACACTGGAAACCTTCATGTTGCAAAGATCCCAGCAGCTGCCTCTCAGTTTGTGAAGAAGTTAAACTGTAGGATCAAAACAGGGCAGGTATCTCAGCAAACTGAGCCAGGCAGAGCTTGACTGCCCCAGTTCAGTGCCACCCAGGCAAAGAGCTCTGGTGTTAATTCAGAAATGGTTTTCCACCAATCTCTGAAGCTGTGGACTGCTTTTCTTCCCTGGTTGGGTATGTTCTGCAGAGGAGCACTCACTGCCACTTCTTAAAATTAAGTCTACAACACATTTCCTCTCCCAGCATCCCAAATAATTACCCTAAGCAGAACAATATTCTTGCACAATTTAGCTGTTTTCAGATCCATCATCATACCCATGGTTCTATCACTAATATATGAAACGAAAAGCAAACAAGGAGGAAAACCTCAGTTATTTAATCATGATTTTTCCCCCCCCACACACTGTTCTCATTTAAAATACTCCTCAGCTTTGGGTATAATGGAATTTACTTCTGCTGTTAACACACTCTGTGACTATTTGTTGTCTATTGCTTTAGCTCGGAGTATTTCAGGGATTTTGCAGCATTCAGAATATTACACTTTTGCTTTTAAGAGTATTCCTCAGAAGTTGATGTATCTGAGATAACACATCTAGAATTTTTCTCAATAGGAAGGGCTGAAAATATTTGTAAAAGACATCACGATTTTCCAGGATAATATAAATAAAAATTCTCACAATTATGAGCAGCAGCCAAAGTGGCAAATTCTCACTCTCTGACTACAGCCCAATTTTGCAGAGTATAAATAACTACTTAGAGGAGTAAAGTTGTATCAGGGTATGAATAAATCTTTGACAGAGGGATACCCCAGTCCTGCTCTAGAGTTTTTCTTGTTACTGTATTATTCCTGTTAACAGCAGCTCTCCCTTGCAAAGCTGTTTCCAGAAATAGCTGTAACAAAGGGTGAGGTGAGGGACAACAAAATGTATCTGTGAGCCACGATCAAAACCAAATTTGTAGGGAGTTTGCAGAGCTGGAATAGTAATTAAAAGAGCTCAAATGTCCGAGGGGTATTGAGCCCAACTGTGGACGTGAGGACTAGGAACAGCTTGAAACTAATAAATCTTGGAATCTGATCCTGTCACCCTCCATGGGATATTTTTCATAACTGATACTCACCGACTGTGGCTCCAGTCCCTCCATCAGGCACTATCCATCCCAACAGACAATCTCCCAGGAATTAGATCAGGCTCCTAAATCCCACAGAAGCGTGGGGTGGGATGAGTGGGATGCCACTGGGGCTGAATTCCCTGACCCACTGTACCCTTCCCCTTCGCATGCTCCGGATTGAATCGACCCTCAAAGCACAATGAGGTACCCACAGGGTCAGCTTGTAAACACGGAGGAAGACAAAGCCCTTGCCTCCAGGAATGCACAACCCACCATGAATTTGATGGCCACAATAAAAGTCTCAGGCATTAAAAGACACCACGGTGGGAAAGAGGGTTGGCATTGAAAAAGTCGTTTAACGGGGAGAGGCAGAAGAGGGTGTTGGAGGATGGAGAAGGCTGCTCGAAGCACAGGGGCTGAAGAAACACATTTACAAGCTCAGGCACGTGCCCAACCACTGCACATCCCTCTGGGTTCACTGTCCTGTCACTCGTGTGTTGTAGGGGCTGGACGTCTGGATCTCCTTCTGGTTTTGAACAGAGAAACCAGCCAAGAAAATGATGTCTTTCAAAGTCCTCTCCCTGCTCCTCGCCTCTCTAGGCTTTGTTCTGATGGAAGAAAACATCCCAAGGTAAGTGTTTTGGAAAGCTCACCGTGTATTTTGAGCCTTTTCCAGCTCCCCACTGGAGGCAAATGGGTTCTTTACACTGGCACCTTGGTACGTGGGTGAGAACGTGAGTCCTGAGGTAGATCTTGGATAACAGGCAGCCGAGTGTACAGAGATGAGCAAACGATAAGGGAGAGATCAAACTAAAGCCCTGAGCCTTTGAGCCAGAGCCAGGAACTCCCAAAGTTTCCTTACAAATTTCATGGTGCTGGGTTAGGAGGAACAAGCTGGAAGTCAACCAGAAGATGGGGTGGTTGGCTGGGAACTAGAAACGAGATGTAATCACCTCACACACACGAGGCTGGAGGCACCCAGTGTTCAGATGCTACTGAAAATATGGCCAGTTGCATAAAGCAGGTATATAATAAAGAATCTTCCTCTTTCTCCTCAACTCTTGCTACAAAACTTCCAGCTACCACCCGAGAAGATCCAAAAAAATCCTTATTGGAGCAGCAGGAGCTGCTGCAAACCCAGATAGTAGTAATAAAACAAGGATCTGCCTTGAGATCCTTTGCTAATTTAGATAGCCACCAACTATGTCCACACTGTGAGACCAGCCCTTGTCTCCTCCATCCAGCCCTGAGCCTCTCAAGGATGCAGGAAAAGGTTTCCTTGGCCATAGGTGTGCAGCTCCCTGGAGGAGGGAGCCTGAGCATGCTTGGAATCAGAATCAGAGAATATTATAGAATCCCAGGCTACAAAACCCACCCTGACTCCAGCCTGCCAGCCAGCACCCCGAGCTCATCTCCTGAGCTGCAGTGGCACTAGCAGCCAGCAGAATGACTACTAGCTCCTCCTCAGTGCAGAAAGGGTCCCTTGGACCACGAGGAATTAAAAGGGACCCCCAAATCTTGCTGGCTGGAGGGTGCAAGCCGAGCGGAGCTGTGCAGCCTGTGCCCCGGCTCCCTGCGGGACTCGCTGTCTCTGCTCTCCCCCCAGCCTAAGGGCTCCCAGTGGCAAACCAGTGCAAAGACGCTACTCGGAGGCCACCCTGGCGAGCGATTACAGCCGCACGATGGACAACATGCTGAAGAAGAACTTCGTGGAATGGTTGCTGGCCAGGCGGGAGAAGAAGAGCGAGTAAGTGCGGAGACTCCTCGGTGTCCCTCCCATCCCAGCTGGTGGCTACAGAAGGATGTAAAGCCTCGGGTATTTTTCTTGGCTCGCAGCAGTGATTCTCTAGGGAGTTGGTTTTTTCTTTTCTTTTATTTTTCCAAGTCCTAGAGCTGTTTCTGGTCTGTCGGCACAGAGCACAACGCTGCAGCTCCCTGTCCAAGCCCGCTGCCTCCTCTGGCTGCTGGTGGATGGGGTGGGAGGGAGCTGGGCTGGGTGAAAAGCAGCATTTGGGCACCCTCTTGTGGCACCTCGGGCTGATATCCTCCCGCTTCGCCTTCCCAGCGTCATCGTCGAGCCAAACAAGAGGGAGGCTGAGCCTCGGGGAGCAGCTACGAGTGACCAGAAATTGGACCTGGGCACCCAGGAGGCCAAAGATTTCTTCACCTGGCTTCTGAAAGCCAAGAAAAACCAAAGGTGAGATGGGAGAAGAGAAAGTCCGCAGGGAGGGGATGAGGTCCCCAAGTGTTTCACTTCAAAAGGAATGTTTTTGGGGCAGGTATTGATGGTGTCCCAGCAGAAAACAAGGGGATTGTGATTTCAAAAGGAAACTCCACGTTTTTCAGCTCTGCCTCATGAGTGAGGGGGGAAAAAAAACAGAGGGAAAAAAAAAAGCCTCCCTAATTTTGAGATTTCTGCACAAAAATACATTTTTTTTTTTTTAAAAAAAAAGAAGAGATGATTGGGGTCTTTTCTTTTGTAAATGTCAGCACAGCCTCCTCCAAACCCACCACTTTGCTAAAGTCAAAGCAGAGACTTTTGACAGGGCTGAAGCTCATCTGGCTCCTTTGACATCCCAACATCCCCAGAATGGAGAAGTCAAACCCCAAGTGCTTTCACCTAATCAAAACAAAGCCCTGGCAGAAGAAAACTCCCCAGCAAAAATGAAACAGATCCATTTCAGCAAAACGTTTTGATTTGATCACATCAACCCACGCAGGGAAAAACAAAATCCCACTCGTTCACACTCTCAGCGTGTTGACCAGTTAATTTCTTTTTTTTTAAAAAAAGAAACACAACGGTTCTTTCCTTTTATCCCTTCTACAAGCCAGGAAAAGCCTCTTGTCTAAACATAAAGCCACGCAGGAGAGATTCTGCCTGATCCAGGAGGAATTTCCCAACCCGCCAAAGGGCACAGATTGATTTAATATTATTTTTTTTAAGCCCTAATCATCTTAAAATCATCATGATGATGGTGAAACGAGCTCGCTCGGTGCAGGTACCTCTGGGCAAGGTAACCAAGCCCATATGGAGTGCGTGGTTGCAGCAGCTCCTGCCTTCCTTTCCCAAACCATCTGGCCGGGAGCTCGCTGGTGGATCTGGGCTTTGTGCTGTGTCAGCACATCCACAGCCTGTCAATAGCCTGTTTCACCTCCCCCCAATCTTGGCTTATGTCACAAATGCTCAAAAAAAAAAAGCAAATTAGACACGAGTCCAAAGAGAAAAATCTGTTCTCAGGCACTTTCTGTGGTGGTTTTTTAAAAATCTAATGAATGAGGGATACATTTCCCTGCTTTGATGTGAAGGGGATTTTGTAAAACCTAACAGGTTGCTGCTGGTTAGTCCTAAAATGGTGGCATGAAGGGGAAAAAAAGCACTTACCACACATAGCTCCCATCTTTCAGGCACAATCCTGGTGTCTTCTAGGGAAAAAAAAAATGGGATTTCTAACTAGAGTCCTGGGACAGTCACCCAGAACAAGAATCTGGGGGCATTTGTTGTCTTTTATGAGGAAAGTGCTTTAGAAAGCAGGCTGGGGGAAATGAGCAGAGTTATGGTTCACAGAGGTGTCTCGGGGCAAGCGCTGAGGAAATCAGACACTGAGAATTGCTGGTCCTCCTGAAAATACAAAAATCAAAGAAACGAGGGCTTTGAGGGATCCCCAGGGGTCGTGGAGTCTGACCTCTGCTCCAAAGCAGGATCAACGTGCCCCAAACTGTTCCTGACAGATGTTTGTCTAACCTGTGCTGGGGGTGGGGGTGGCAGGGGGAGGGAAACCTTTGATGCTAGAGATGAATCAGCTCGATTAGCTTCATTCTTTTTTAAAAAGAAATTATTCTATTTTTTCCCCTTAATCTCCTTAATTGTAAATAAAAAGAAATGCGACTTGCAGGGGAAAGTCCTTCTCAGAAACAAAGACTTTCCTTTGTGAGTTTGGAGGGTAGATGCTGCTTCACCCACGCTCTGCCTTTGTTTTGATGCCTGCTGGGTCTCCGAGGAGGTGGGGGGGTCATTGGATTGTTCCTTCTCATCCCCCCGAGTCTGACAGACACATCCACTGCTGGGCAGCCCCTGTGGGCAAGCTCAAGGTGTGCCAGGAGTCAAAAAGGGGTTTGTGGATTTATGGGAGTCAAAGATATTAAAAGACAAGGAAAATAAACTGTCCCTGGGAGCTTTGGGGCATTGGGATACGGGGCTGTTCTATCCTGTCTCTCCTCTGTCTTTATGTCCTGACCCATTTCTTGCAGTTTTACTTCTCCAGAAGGTTTGAAGGATGTTTTGAACCAGGAGTTGCTGGCATGGCTGATGTCAACTGATCTCTGCAGACAACTGTGAGTGGCTGTTCTACCTCCTCCTGTTGTTACCAGCATCCCTACAGATCCTTTCCCAGCCCTTGTGCCCAGAGGGGGACTTGCTGCAGGGCTCAAGCCATGAATTTAGGATTTCTTTAGATAACATGGCACAGCTCGGCTGGAATTGACTGGAGAGTTCAGAGCTCTGGCCAGAGTTTGGTTCTGCAAATGCATCTTCAGCCTATTGATACAACAAAGATGGGGGAGACAAATTTCCAAAAATTACTGTCTAGAGAAGGGAGGTCAGTAAACCCTTTTCCACCTCTTTTTTTAATGAGAGAAAGGTGTTCAGCAGACCACTTAGATTTTTCTGTGCTGCTATGAAAGGCATCCAGAGAGAAGCACAAGAAGCTGGGATGCCAAAGGTACAGGGGAGAGCCCTGAGGAAGCTCAAGGGAACGTTGAGCCCATCCTACACTTAGCTGAGTAAAATGAAGGCTGAGAGAGAGACAAAATCACCATCTATAGAAAAAAAAACAGAGCAAGAAAAGAGCTGTTTATGCTAATGGCAAAAGTTGGCACAAGAACAAAAAGGGATGAACTGGCCATGAATAAATGTAGGTTGGAAATAAGAGGCAGCTCTGTGCTACAGACAATTCCCTGCAGCTTGGTCAGACAATGCGAGCCGAGTGGCCAGCCAGCAGGGAGAGAAAACAAACAACTGTTGAGCTCATTCCACAGCCTTTCCTGCCCCAAAAACACTCACTTGCATCTCTCAGCTCTAAGCAGCTGCTGATTTTTCTCAGAGCTTGTAGGTGCTCACTACTACCCGCTGAATTTGATACACCTCTTGCTATCAAAGTGGATTTTCAAGGTATGGGAGGGGCTGGAGGGTGAGGGGAGCGACTCGTGCCTCGTTTCCTTCAGGAACCAAATGAAAAGGGGTTAAGTGCAGGACCACAGGAATTTGGTTTTTCTCTCCCCACTCTGTTTTGTTAGAGCTGTGTAACTCCAGGACCTTCCCCAGGAGCTTCATCCTCTCAGGACATAAGAGAAGGCAGAAGAGATCTTCTATACCCCCTGTTCTCTGCAGATTGTTTTATTGATGTAAGCAATAAAGAGTTTCTTCGGAAGCTGAAATAAGATTCTAAGACTTAATTTGGGGAGGGGCTATGAAGCAGTAGTAAATTGTGACAAAAAGTGTCCTAAGCACAGCTCGTAAGGGTCCCTGTGTCAGTGACCTGCAGCAGAGGGAACTCTAACACGGGGACCCCCAAACTGCAGGATTTAGGGGGGTTTATGACCTACCCACTGGGTGAGGACTCAAAACCCTGGACCCACACCCAGGACCCTGCTGAGCCCCCCTGGGAGCAGCCAAAGGAGGCCTGAGCCCTCCTCCTTCCTCCTGAACCCCCAAACTGGGGCTCTCCTACATCCCGGGGGGATGATGCCCACCCACAGAGGGGGTGCAGCCCCACAACAGGGGTGGTCACCCCTACCCAAAACAGGCATCCCCCCACCTGAGGGAGACTGGGACCCCCTGCAGTGTGTGGGACCCCATCCTGGGGGCCACATACCCACCCACAGAGGGGTCACAGCCCCACAGAGAGGGACTTGCCTCCATCTGGGGGGGTCACCCCTACCCCAAACGGGGCCCTCCCCAGCCAGGGGAGGCCGAGACCCCCTGCAGTGAGGGCTCTCCCCCCAGCCCCACGGGGGGGACACCCACAGAGGGGACCCAGCCTCACAAACAGTCCCTCACCTCCATCTGGGGGCTCCCCCCACCCGCGGGAAAGGGGGGACCCCCTGCAGTGAGTGTCCCCCCTAAACCCTCCCCGCCCGAACAGGCTCCCCG